ACGATGAATCTCTGGACAACACAATTAATACTCTCGACACCGACTGAAACGATAGAGACCAATTCAATTAAAATACAGAGAGGAATATAATTAATAGAATCAGGCGTTACTTTGCGGAAATCCATTATATAAAAGCTTTTACAAAAATTTACTTCGCAAATATCCGCGTTATAAAATAAAATGATGTGTCTTACCTAGTATGAAGAAGCACCTCCCGCTCTCCCTCAATTGCGTGCACTATCCCCTTCACCACTAATCCCAGCACCGCTACTTCCAACACCACTACACTAGGCAAGACACACCACTGACGATAATACGACACGTGTTTCGCCTCTACACGAGGCATCCTCAGGTGATATAGACTCTACGGTGGCTAACCGCTAAAAGCTTAGTGTCGTACTATCGTCAGTGGTGTGTCTTGCCTAGTGTAGTGGTGTTGGAAGTAGCGGTGCTGGGATTAGTGGTGAAGGGGATAGTGCACGCAATTGAGGGAGGGCGGGAGGTGCTTCTTCATACTACGTAAGACACATCATTTTATTTTATAACGCGGATATTTGCGAAGTAAATTTTTGTAAAAGCTTTTAGAGAGGAATATTTCAGGGTGATTCACTAAGCCCGTTGTGGTTCTGTCTTGCTCTTAATCCCCTGTATAATACATTAAATTGCCCCTTACATTATAATGATAGCAACAAAATTCTTATAAAAATTAAACATACTACTACTTTACATGGATGACATAAAACTTTACTTTGATAAAGAAGATCAATTATATCAATTAGCGAACCTTACGGAACAATTCCCAAATGATAATAAAATGGAATTTGGAATAGATAAATCAAAAATAAACTCAATCAAAACAGGACATAAGAGATAAGATAGAATCACTAGATGAATAGGAGGCATATAAGTACTCGATTCCAAACAGTCACGACAAATATACTAAAGAAAAACTAAAGTAACAGTTCCGACATCGAATCAAGACAATACTAAAGACAATGAAACCCACGAAACACGATAAAGGCCATCAATACTTTTGCTATACCAGTACTCACTTATTCCTTCGGCATAATAAACTGGACAAAGTCTAATTTGAAAGCTCTACAATGCATAATAAGCACAACATTGACCAAACTTCGCAAACACCATCCAAGGTCATTCTTACAGAGACTTACATTACCAAGAAAAAAAGGTGACAAGGGAAAATAGACATAACAAACTTACAGAACAAGCAAATTACGACCCTCAGACAATACTTTTTCAGTAAAACAGAATCTTCCACACTCCACAAGGCCATAGTACAAAATGATAATAAATTAACACCCTTGAACTTAAAAGAAAACACTACACATAATTCCGAAAAACTGACCAACGACAAAACAAAACACACTGAATGGGCTGATAAGTCGCTATATGGGAGACATCAACATGATATAAGTCAACCTAATGTCGACAAAGAAGCATCAAACGCGTGGTTGGTTCGTGGCGAACTTTTTCCAGAGACTGAAGGCTTTATGATTGCTATACAGGATCAAGTAATAGAGACCAGATAGTACCAAAAGCATATTATAAAAAATCTTAGCTTCTGTTACGTGCAGAAAATGCAACAGTTTTCTAGAAAGAAGAAGAAAGCTTTATGTCTAAACCAGCACAAGCAGATGTAGTCTATACAGACTACTGCAAAGCATTCGACAGAATCGATCATTTAATTTTTTTACGTAAACTCCTTGGGTATCAGGGGACTTATTTAGATGGTTTACATCATACGTCAGAAATCGAAGTCAATTTGTAGTCCTCGGTGGATATCGTTCGTCTGCAATCCATATATCGTCTGGCGTACCACAACGATCCCTATTGGGGCCCTTGCTCTTCTTAATTTTTATCAATGATATCGACACGTGTTTTGAAGATTCGATAATTATTCTTTACGCTGACGATATGAAAATCTTATGTCCTATGTTATGTTTGGAAAGTTGTTCTAGCCTTCAAAATGATCTCTTCAATTTAGAAACGTACTGTTCTAACAATAAACTCGATCTGAATGTTTCTAAATGTTTTATCTGCACATTTACTCGTAAACCTAATCCTATAATTTATAATTATAAATTACACCATACTTCTCTAAATAGAACCAGCACTATCAAAAATCTCGGTGTTACTTCTGACTCGAAATTACTGTTTGACAATCACGTTGATAATATTGTTACAAAAGCTAACAAAGCGCTGGGTTTCACATTAAGATTATCGGCAGATTTTATAAGCATAAAAATCTTCAAAATTCTATATTGCGCTTTTGTATGCAGCCATTTGGAATATGCCTCTGAAATTTGGAATCCACAATATAATATGTATGTGGATAGGATAGAGCGCATACAAAAAAGATTTTTGCGTTTTCTTCAATTTAAATCAAAAAAGTTTATACCCAGCTATACTCTTCGATGTAAAAAATTTCACATATTACCTTTATATGAGCGTAGAAATATTGCAAATCTCTCTTTCCTCTTTAAAATTATGAATGGTAATGTTGATTGTCCTGACCTACCTACACTTTTATCTGTACCATACGTGAAAACTAATTACAGAAAAAATATATGTATACTACTATACTACTATGTATACTATTACTTGCCCTATACTCATATATCTTTTCTGACACACTCTTGTTATATAAAGTATTATATAAGTGAAAACTTGTACTTCGCCTTCATTTTTGTTATAAGTATATTATTTTTGTAAATTAGCTGTAAGTTTTCCTAGCAAATAAAAATAAAATAAAGTATTCAACACATTACAGGAGCGTGTAAAGCCATAACCCAAACTAATTACAAACAGATATGATCAAGTTGTTGTTTATTCACCAAAAACTAGCTAACCAATAGAACCTAATAAAGCCCTTTGAGCCCTATTATAAATACAACCAAGAAAGCGTATTAGAGAACTCCTCAACGAAGATATACTTTGACCGCGCTATTCTCACAGATCGGATCATTCACTGTAACAGACTAGATTACATTTCTATACAAATAAATCTATTCCTATACAAATAAATAAAATTGAAGTGTATGTTTGTAATTTCAAAATAACAGCTTTTTACTAAATGCATATATTACTAAACACAATTTTTAAAATGTTTGTCTGTCTGTCTGTTTGTTCCGGATAATCTCCGAAACGGCTGGACCGACTTCGACGGGACTTTCACTGGTAGATAGCTGATGTTATAAAGAGCAACTTAGGCTACTTACATTTTAGAAAAAGAATTAATGTTTCGCGCAACATAATTTTAATTTAAATTACACGACGCGAAGTCGTGGGGAACAGCTATTTAATTGATGAAATTAACAAAACCGGATACCTTATAGATATAACAGATGCATAATCCACAAATTACTAAATATGCAGAACTTAAATATGAAATAACCCGACTCTGGCATCATCAAAAAGTAAAATGTTTATATATAGTAAATTGTTTATGTCGGCTTTTCCGGCAACATCAAACGCGATGATTAACTGTTGTACACGCCCCTAGCTGCCCCAAGATAGGTTGACGGGACTAGGGCCCATGAGTAATCCCAACAAGGGACGGGGCCCAAGGGCCTATGGAGACTTATCATTCTACACAATAGATATAAGGCTAGGTAAACAAATAGTACGTACCTGGTTCCGAAACTAAGACTGCCCTAAGGCTCGGGCAGGCCGTAGGTAGGTGTAGATGCATGTAAGTGGTGTGTAGTAGTGTTTATATATGTGACCTGACCCAACTGAGGTGATCGGGCCCAGGCCGCTGGTCCGATACTGCCCCACCATGTTGTATCACTCCAGCGGACGTCACCAATTGACAACTTCTTTCTTCAATTCACTATTTCAGTCTATCAACTTTATTGTACACTATTTCAATCCATCAACTTTATTGTACATTTAACTAACTTCAAACTCTACTAAATCCCCGTTAATCGTAATCAAAAACGTAAAACACGGCATGACTAATGAACGGTGGATCAGAGTTCACTTCCGTTTTCACTCAGCAACAAATTATTTCTAGAACCGAACGCGACTTCTCTAGGGTCACAAAGTTCCGCGTTACAAACAACAAACTAAATCCCTTCGTACGATATTAAATACTACGCCCGCATTCAGACTCAAAATCAGCCTAGCTGACACGCAAACTAACTACAGAGTCAACACACGAAAGGCACTTAACGTGACGGTACCATTAAACATTAACTTCCAAAAAACAATTAACCGGGTTACGCCCTCGAAATGGAATGCGAGCATCAAATTACAAACAGAGATCGTATGTCCACTCGGCGTGCGCGCAAGGTTCCACGTTACACAAGCAAGTTAAATATTGCAAAATGCACTTTAACCGGCAATCACTATTCAATTTACGTAAATTACTTGCCAACGAATTTAGGTTAATCAATCAAAATATTACCGCTTCGTTAATATCGCGTGAACGCACTAAAGATAACCAAAACTAGAAGCGAAAACCTCCAATAGTAAATTAACGCGCACAAAGACTCAAATTCTAGACCACAAAACACAAATACTGGTCGCACGAAATACTCGTAGATGCAGCGGTCACCAAAATACGCTAATCGACCGCACCGCCGCTGTTAAGCTACTGTCTTAGCCCACGACCGGAATCGCGGGAGGCGGTACACTGCCCCCCCCCCCGCCGGCGTTTACCTCACCTCGACACCACCAATGAAATCGTTAATTGCAATTTTAAGTGCTGATTTACCACATAACATCATGATGAAACCTACATGTCTGGGAAATGAGAAAAAAAAATATTTGGAAGACATGTGAAGTTCGCCAACATGTATAGGGACTGTGCGGCGAACACTTCCTTGCCCTAATACCCTCTCAGAAATGAGAGGAGGCCTGTACCCAGCAGTGGGACGTATATAATCTGTAACTTTAACTTTATATTTAATTCAGTTGGTGATTCTCAAACAAATACATCAATAAATAAACAATTAAAATATTTATATTAATTAAATTTATTTCCAAGCCTTTATTCTTAATCTTCGTGGTGGAATGACAACATCAGTGTCATCTCTTCCGGGTTTCAAAATATCCTTTTGTATTTCTACGATCATCCTTAGCATGAAGTTAATAACTTGACTGCACGTTCCATCACGCAGTCTTGGGAAGTCTCTGCCACTGGGAAGAAATGTCCCGCCAATTAAAATAGTCTGATGCGTGAGGGAAGCAAGCAGGCGTTTTATTATGTCGATCTTTTTGTTGGCTGCTAACGGTCGAAGGCGTATAATAAAGCGTAGCAGGTATTCTATAAGCAAGATGTCCTCCTGTAATTAAATGTAATATATTTTTTAAAATTTTGTATAGGTTACACTATAAAGAAGCTTAATGCTTCTGTGTTTCGTATGGTGAGTGTAGAGAACCGGAGATGTCTTTTACTGGTAACGAAGCATTCTATCTTAGTCCTCAGAGGGACAACGCATCTACATTTTGACTTTATCGCACAGCACCCACTCACCATCAGGCGGACTGTGGCCTTATTCTATAAAAATAGTTTATGTGGTATATGCGTCACTGTGAACTATGCAAAAACCTATTATGAAATAAAAAAAATCGTTTATTTCAACCACAAGGATCATAGATGTTAGTAATAATACAAATCTTAAAGCTAATGTTAGTAAACTTAAAACTATTTACCTAATTCTAAGACTATATCTAAGACAGGCCCGATTAGTCAGCACGTGCGCCATATGACAATGGTTCAGGTACTGACAATCAAAGCTGTCAGAAAATGCTCTCAGGATGCCATTCGAACTGACCCGCACCCTGCGCACCAGGGTTGTGCATCGTTTACGCATGGTGGTGTAGAAACAATCCACACGCGCATCCGCGAACATACCCGACGCACTACAGTAACGAGGCAGACCCAATAGCATCCTGAATGCATTATTGTATTGAACACGCAGGGCATTGTACTGTTTCTGCGTGTAGTCCACCCACAGACTTCTCGAGTAAAAGAACGTGCAGTAAGCTCTGAATAGCGTTACTTTTACAGGGACCGAACAACGAGCGAACCTGCGAGCGATCATGTTCGCTCTAACAGACAATGCCCTGCGCTCTCTCTCTATATCAGCATCATCTTTCAGGTCAAGGGATACCATATGACCCAGGTACTTATACTGAGACACCCTCCTTAACGGGGTACCGTATAACTTAATGGGTGGTATATATGAGGGCAAGGCTTTCCCTTTAGCCTGAAAGACCATGCATTCGCTTTTATTAAAGTTATAAATCCATCCGTGACTGCGGGCGTAGCTTTCACATATGCTCAACAGTTTTACCAAGCCACAAACAGAAGCACTCAGCAACACCATGTCGTCTGCGTAGCTGATGTTGTTGAGGCATACTATTTTTTTATATATATATATTCTTATATAACAGTTTTGTTTTGAAGTGAAAATTTCTTTACAATCGTGAATTGAATGAAACTGAAAAGAAACGAACATATACATCTATAGGATTTAGCCTGCGAGAGAATGAGATAGAACACAGTGTAGACCGCAAACTCAAAAAATTGTGGGCTCAAATCCGCCCTTGGAAAATACTGTCATTTTTTAAAAAGTTGCCTATTTCTCAGTCTCTCCTTTATGCGGGTCTTTAAAGATGGTTAATATAAATTTAATATAATTTAAATTTTAACCGTTAAAAGTTTTTGACAAATTTGATTGTCTCTCATCTCAAGGTTTGATAAAAACACTTTACCTATAGAATAAAGTAGATGGCGCTATTACAAAGCAATTTTACTCGAAAGAAAATATTATTTTGATTTATTACACCATGTCCTTATATTTCATTTCATTTGTAGGTTACACTTCTACCGTGTGTGAACTGCACAGATGTTTTGTTTTCTTTATAATAACATTACCTCCACACTAGGATTTTCCCCTGTATCGTGGGTAGTTTACATACATACATTTCACAAGGCCAAACATCCAGAAGAATAATAATTTGTAGGCCATACAAATACTTACTTGTTCCGTGCGGGATTTGAACCCGTGCCTTTAGCACTGCAACTCATTGCTAAGCCACTGCGCCACGAAGCCATCAGTGTTTTAGTAAAGCTTATTTAAAAAACAACGTTAGAATTTTTTTAAACTAAAGTGACATGGTTTTTTTCCTCAAAGTATCGGCAAAATAATAGTGGTGCGACAATTTTGCTGTAGATTATGCTAAGTCGGTGACCGTTTTGTTGCTGCAGTCCAATAATAATAAGATTTTTTTTTCTTTATGCTGTATTATGTTGTGGCCACGAATAAATGTTATTTCTTTCTTTTTTATAAATGCACTTAGTCTCTAAGAAAGGAAAAATCTGAAGGTAAAGGTAAAAAAATCCATGGGCACATGCAACCAACTTCAAATATGGACGGCTACAGAGGCGTTGTCACTTCTAGGGACTGAGATGTAATTCCTATATTAAACTAAATACACTGGTCAGCTATATCCTTCAGACACAGCAGTGCAAGCATTGATTTATGGCAGCATTAAAAGCTAAGAGACAAAGGCAGAAAAAGAGTCAATCCATCAAGTCAACAAAAATTTATTATTCTTACACCGCCACTACAAGTTTCGGGGCTCACACCACGGAAAAAGCGATTAAGATTTAACTACGTAAAAAAAAATACCACGAACAAATTCTGTGCGACTAGGACCAGGACCTTTTTATGGCACAGACTATGTATATGTAAGTTTGAGCTCATGGGTTTTAAAGTCTCGACGTCTCTTCTAGTACTCAATGTTTTAAAGCCGATTTTTCAATTATCAAATAATAGTTATCTATGACTGAATATAAAAGTAATACAATTGAACAATTTTATTCATACCAGATGTTTTTAATTCGCATAAGTTATATTTTATCAGAGTAACTTTTAACTAACGATTGAAAACTCTGCCCTGAGTAAAATCATGATTACGGCTTTGAATGTCGAACGACTGATTCAACGATTTAATAGATTTATCTTATTTTGCCTTAGCTCAAATTTTAATACCATTTGCAATGCCATTATGCAATGCTCTGCGTTATTCGCACGCGCGACTATCAGGGAAAGATCTTCCCGATTAAGAACTGGTTGCTTCAGGCCGTCCAACCATTCGAGAAGAAGTCCAGATAGCACCATGGGATCTTCCTAAAAAAAGAAAAATATATTGATTATAGTACATACCAAACAGAACCGTGTAGTGGCGGTGCAAGAGTATCCACTACCCTATATCATTCCGAGAGTGTCGAAAGAAACGAAATATATACAGGTCCCGTCACGTAAAGAGAACGCTGAGCGACAGTGGAGGGGGTGTGTCTGCGCATGGGTACAGTCGCGTTCTAATGTACTACATAGTACTGGGCTATTGTTTTAAAATATAATAGTAATTAATTGTTTTATTGTAGAATCATAATAGGTACTTTACTAGCTATTTAGAACTTTGGAAGAGGTTGGAATTAAAAATGTTTAATTATTTTTTTTATTTCTGTCGTAAAATATAAAGTAGTTTGTAACAAGAAAACTTAAACTAGGAGTACCACGCCGTCCATTATATCCTCTTGGGTCACATGGAAGCCAGATGTCGATGGTGTGTTGGTGTTACTGGTTGCTGTTTCATCATCACTTTCATCTTCGCTTGAGCTTCCGTCATCAGAATCATCATCGTCAATGCGAATGATAAATGTTTCCGTCATCAGGTCGACCACATGGTAATTTTTTCGATATTCTTCCTCAATACTTTTAACTTTACTGCACAATTTTCCCCATTCACCTTCTCCCATCACATTTATCTTTTCGTTCGCTAGTTCAGTCATAAAACAATAGACATAAATATTTTTTCTTTCCTTCCTTTTTAAAACCATCATCGCGGGTCGTGTAAAGAAAGCTGTGTGTGCGACTGTATTTTGGGAGCGAACAAAGCGCGGGAAGCATAACGAATCAATAGCATGCGCGCACAGTAATACCAAATACTGGCGAGCATTCCCCCGTCGCGCCCCCTTCGTACCACCAATTTGATCGATAAATCGCTCATTGCGTAGGTACAAGGCCGGCGTTCTTTTTACGTGACGGGACCTATACATAAGATTCATAATTCAATGAGATATTAAAAATAAATATTAAAAAATAATTTATTAAATATTTTTATTGCATATATAGATAGAATAGGACAAACTTATAAAACTAAAACTTAAAACTTAAAAAACTTAAAATTAAAACTTAAAAACATACTTATCGTTTGCTACTACGAGAGCCATCTAGCGGTATGTTGAAGACTTCCGTTCTGATAATTTCAATTTGAACCACCATTCAATTGTACGACAGCTAAGGTTTGGGACTACAAAATTGCTTTGAGTTCGAATAAAATTCGATTAATTTAGAACTCGGTTCTGTAGGGTGTGGGCAGGAAGGACCATCGGCGTTTATACTTAAAAAGATCTGGGTTATAACGTAGATGAGAGTGTTGTTTAAGCACGATATGCAGAATGAAAGTTTGTCTAACCGTTAGTACATCCCATTTTTTATACAGCTCCTCTGTAGGAAAACGGAAAGGGGGACCAGCACCTGCTTTAAGAATTGCACGTTGTGCTCTCTCTACTTCAATGAGGTATGTTTTGGCTCCTCCTCCCCATGATGTTATACAATATTCAATTATGGATTGACATAAAGCGAAGTAAACTACCATTATAACACGGCGTTCAGCTATATGTTTTAAGGTTTTGAATATATATATATATATGAGCTTTCGCAGTCGGGATACTAAAACCTCAAAGTGGGGTTTAAATGTTAAGGTCTGATCAATCAAAATGCCAAGATATTTGATTTTATTGGTTCTTTCAATTAAGGGACAGTGACATCCTGAAAGTCTAAGACCACAGGTGTGGGATGTGATTGTCAAAGATAGTAGTGGAAGGAGGTTAGCTCTATGACCAAATGCAATGTACTTTGTTTTATTAACATTCAGTGTTAAGATATTGTAGCTAAGCCATTCACAGACCCTATTAAATCCCACCTGAGCGTTCTTAAAAACTTCACACTCGATTAAGAATCAAAATGCTGATGCGTTGTCACCCCTGAAGACTAAGATTTAATTTCTCGTTTGCAGTAGAAAGGATCTCCAGTTCTCTACAGTCTACACTCACCATACGAAAAACAAGAGAATTGAGCTGGTATTCATCTCCTGGTACAGTATTCGTCTGTCGCCTCTTACCATATCCACGGGATGATATCGCGTGGATATGGTATTATGGATGTTCTTACACCGTTACTACACGGATAATATGTTTCAATGAAAGTGATATTAATTGATGTCTGTTTTATGGATTCGTATTGAAACCGTCCAAGACCCTAGTCTAATCTGGCAACCCTGCTTATACCTCATCATAAATCTTGTCCATAGCTTCTCGACTCTGATTAATCTCATTACGTAGCTGCTTAAGGTATTTCTGTTTCTCGTCTGGAAGACTTTGGTGATCCAAAATGAATGCCTGAAATGGTAACAAAGTAAACGTTATGCTTAGTCTCATAGCTGATTCTTCATAGTTTATACGTTATAAGAAGGAGTTGGAAATATATTATTAAGCGAATGTCACCTTATGTATATCTACGGCGGGTATGCTTCCACCACTGGAAGATCCTGTGATCGTACTAACTGACTCCAAGCTTCTTTCTACATCCTCCTCTACTGGATCTCGCCATTCCACCATAGGCAATGTTGTCACATGGCCTGAAAAATAAACAATGAATTTAAATTCATTTATGTTGAAGAAACGACACAGATTGAATAAATTGGATCTAGACTCTTTTTAAATATACTTATATTTATACCTTTACTGAAAGGTGAAAAACAAGAAAAATGTCCACTAGATGGAAAGTTAATAAGAATTACAATGCAGATGCGTTTTCACCCCTGAAAAATTAGATGGAATGCCAGGTTACGAGGAAAAAGCTCATTATGTACCACAAAACGCGAGTGAGCCTTCTCTGGTCGACCAGGCGTGGCTCTACTACGAAAAAGAGGTGTATCTAACTCTATATTGACGGTTTTCTACATTACATAGAATAAAAAACTACGGTTGTAAACCTGTCCGGATGTGTGGCAATAGCCGATTATAAATGGCAGTGTGATTTGAGACAAGAAATTGAGCTCTGAGCAAAGAGTAGACTTTAATAAGAAGCTGTTTATTTTAATATTGTAGCTATTATAAATAATATGGCGTCTTTTATAGTAAGTGTTAATTTAAATACCTGCGGGAATTTCTTCTGGAGTTACAGGATCGGGAGGTTTGTTCTTTTTCAGTTTGTAGGCTAAGAAAGTTTTGTAGAATGGACGGTTCCGTACGCGGAAGTCTTGGCCGGCGGTTTGATGACAGCCACATAACTTGAGCAGTCTCTCGCAAATACAGTACACTATCTGCAATTCAATAAAGGCTCTGGCTGATCATACGATAGTGGTGTGGTTAAAAAATTATTATTCATACGATAATATATCAAAAAAATTACTTATTTTTATTTATAAGATTATCATTATAAGATTCCTTTCAATATTATATTTTAATTTATTTATGGTTAACGATTATACCATTACTAACGCGTACCTACCTATATTAGCCGCGTACATTATAGTACGCGGTTTTAGGGTGGCCCAAGGGTCACCCAGCCGCACCTTATCCTACTGTCACTGATATTACAAGATTAGTGTAATGTTTTATTAGACGCATGAATAGATACTCCATTTAATAAAGTAAGCTAAGTGAGTTTTGGGAAATTGCATAGGGTTCCACTCCTTTCGTTCAGTTGCTCTGTTCAGTTGTTCAGAAGCTAAAGCTTAAATGATACAATTTTGTCATAATTAAGTACTTTGAGAGAGTATAGTGAGAGCTCTTCTTAATATCATTTTTAAATTGCGTCGCGAAATAAAAAGACACTTAATGAAAGGCAGCCGGCGGATTTATTTTATGCTATTTTATATCTTGATATTTTCTATCGAATATTTTAACCAATTCTAGTTCCAGTTCATTAGTATTGTGTCTGAAAATCGGACAGTGAAAGTACAAGAAACAAGAAACACTTATATAACTCTTTATAATACTTGACTTAATAGATAAAAAAATAAGGTAGATAGGTGGTAAGTGTGATTTCCAGTATTTAAAAAAATACAATTACGATTATTTTTCTATAAAAACTACGACGACATTATACTTTTCACTTTTCACTTTTTTGTACGTGGTAGAGCCATGCTGCAGCTATATTAGTAGTATAGTTTGTAGCACGAATGGGTCGGCTCGACCGGGGAAGGACCACGCTCTCACAGAAAACCAGCGTAAAATAGCAGCTTAACGCTGCTGTGTTTTGTATGGTGAGTGTAGAGAACTGGAGACCCTTTTTACTGAAAAAGAGGCATTCCATCTTATTCCTCACGGGTGACAACGCAACTGCATCAGTCTTTATTGAGGATAGATGTAGATGTCTATGGGTCACAGTAACCACTTACCATCAGGTGGACTGTGGGCTCGTTTGTCACCCTATCCTATAAAAAAAAGAAATTATGAGACACAATTTCTATACAAATTTTGGTTTTGCTAAATTTTACAAAAAAAAATAAATAAATAAATAGTATTGCAATTGCTTAGAATATCCAACAATTGTACATTGTATGACAGCGAATGGTTTTACGTGGTAAAGCCAAGGATCACGCCCTCACTGTATACCAGCGTAAAATAGCAGCTTAATGCTACTGTGATTCGTATGGCGAGTGTAGAGAACCGCATACCCTTTTTACTGGAAACGAGGCATCAGGAACGACAACGCATCTGCATTTTGATTTTTAATTGTGAATACATAAAGTCTATAGACCGCAGTTGGCAAGTGCAGCAGGTGTAATGTGTGCTCGTTTATCACTCTTATTATCTTAAACAAAATAAGAAGGAATTACAGTAATGTATTATACGATAGTTGTAAATAAAATGGGATACCTTGGGAAGTTCTCTAAAGACTCGTTCCTCTAATCCATGAAGAGTTGCCCGCTGCCGAAAGAGATACTGCTTGAGTGTAAATTCGGCAGATTTACGATCTCGCGTTGTTAACATCAGCGGTTCCCTGTAAAATAACAACAGTAAAAATTTTACCGGTGTCTTACTCAAGTGTGATGTTCAAATTTTTCTAAGCTATCTATCCTATTTTTTTTTAAAAACTAAAGTGATAAACTAACTTATAGCTACGTCATGGTAAGTGGATACTGCAGTCAATTTATAGCTACAGTCAACTTCAAAGAAAGAAGGTAAAAGTATGTGATCTTCTTTGGACTAAGATGGGATACCTCACAGGCTCTCATTATACTGGTTCTCTATACCCTTCTGATGAGAACAAAGCCTTGCAAGCACTGCTATTTGGTGGCAGAAATAGGTAAGAGGGTGGCATCTACCCAAACAGACTCCGTCAGACTGTAACTAAGTTTTCTTTAAGTATTCCAATTAATGTCACCAGCTACTAACAGGTCAATTATGAGGTCTATTAAACTATTCTCTTCATCACAGACAAATCATTCGACTAGGCAAGTCCAACTTCAGCCAAGAGGTCGGCACTATGTCTTCTGGTGTGGTTGAAATATTATGTATATTTCTTTTGTAGTATAGGGTGACAAACGAGCACATAGTCCACCTGATGGTAAGTATTTCCTGTGGCCCATAGACATATACATCTATCCTCGTTTGCGAATCAAAATGCAGATGCGTTGTCACCCGTGAGGACTAAGATGGAATGCCTCTTTTCCAGTTAAAAGGGTCTCCGGGTCTCTACACTCACCATACGAAACACAGCAGCATTAAGCTGCTATTTTACGCTGGTATTCTGTGAGAGCGTGGTCCTACCCCGGTCGAGTCGACCCATACGTGTACTTCTAATATAGCTGCAGCATGGCTCTACCACGTATATGAAAGAAGGTGGTTCAGGATCATGTTTGTTACGGCCCTCAGTTGCCCAGACAGAAGTCGACTGTATTAGGGCCCATGAGTAACACTTTCGACGGGCAACCAGAGGGTTCGGGCCCGAATGGCCTATGGATAATTATTATGTAGTGGCTGGATAAACAAACATAAACTTACCGAGATCCGAAGGTAGGGTCGACCACAAGGTACCGTCAGGGATAAGTAGTGGTGCGTGTAAGTGGTGTAAGAAAGTGTGTAAGTGTAACCTGACGTCACCGATGTAATCGACCAGCAAACTCACATGCGCTGCTCTATTGCACAATGTTCAATCACTCCAGTGGGCGTTCACCGTTATCTAAACTCAAGTCTAACGTCACTTAGCACAAAACTATAATCGAAGAGGAACGCGATCTCTTCTCGGGTCACAAAGTTTTAACGTTCCACCCGACACAGTAAATGTCTTATTACGATATTAAAATGCCACACAAACAACTCGTCGACGCAAATTAATGGCAATCGAAGTTAGGTTAATTACTCAAAACTCAAGATAAGCCTCGTTGTCACGCATACGAACGAAATAAGACAACGAAAAGGAGGCGGTCTTAATGCGACCTAACGATTCCAACGTAACTTCCCGACATCTAACCGACACGGCCGTCGCGGACAATTGAGATTGTTCCAGACTGTTAACCGACACGACTGCCGCGCACCAACTTTTTTCGCCCACACGTCAGGCGGCCGAGCGTGAGCGCAGAGACGCACGCAGGAGAGGGGGCCGGCGGTGTCTTTAAAATTCCATCGGATGAACACGCCGAGACGCGCGTCTTGAATGCAAGTTTTTAAAATGTTACGATTTGGCCTAAACAAACTTCCGTCCCGGGCATAAGGACTTATGTCCGCGAGTAAATTGACAAACGAGATAGGGTCTGACCGCTGAGTGGCTGTGAAGTTCCTCTCAACACGCTGAGGGGGGCGACGACCCCCCTGCCCCTGGGGGATCAACCCCCCGACTGGTCGTGGGAGGAGCCCCCTTCAAAATCAGGGGCATGGTAGCCGGCAGGCGAGCGCCGAGCGTCGCCCGATAAAGGGCGTGGCTGAGCACCCCCGCCCGTGGGAGTTGAGGGCCCGGCAGGGCCCCGAGAGGAAGCGCCGTTCGCACCCAGGAACAAAACGGCATGGTGGTTGCCCTGGCGGGGCGGACAGGGCCGCTGGTGCGGGCAGTCTCGTTGGAGGTGCCTTTCCAAGCACGAGTAACACCAGCGACGCTCCTTGGCGATAGTTCACCTCGCCAGGACCGGCTTACCCAATAACTTCGGGCACGACGTCACCCGGTGATCGGATGCTCGACAATAGGAGCATTGGGCGCCTCCCTGGCCGCTACGCCGCTATAAGATGGTAGGGGGCGGCGCCCCCCCGCGGGAGCTCCGCTCGGCGTTAGGGGGGTAGGCGACGACTTGCCCGGCGGATTCGGCCTCTCCCTGGGTACAGCTCGGTTGGCAACTCGTACTCATCAACGGTGCCCGCTGCGTTCTCAATTTGCCGGCACTGCTCCTCCAAGAACCGTAGCAGGTCCCTGAAGGGCGGAATATAGGAGGCGCCGTCCCCGCCGTACCTCTCCTCAAAATGTATCCGAAGGTCGAGAGGCAGGCGGGATAGCACGATGTGGAGCAACAAGAAGGACCATTCGTCCACCGGTAAATCCAGCCGCCTCAACGAATTATAGGCCACCACGACTGGATTTACGATGTCCGGATGTAGTCTGGCCCGGTCCCTAAGCAGCGGGAGGTTTAGAAGCTGCCTAACGTATTCGTCCGCAATTCGCCGGACGTTGGCGTACCTTCCTGCTAGGAGGTCCCGGGCAGTCTGGTAGGCGTCGTCCGACAATTTCAAATGGCCGAGGATGCCCTCTCCCTCCAGTGAGATCAGGAGGTACGCCATCTTCTGGCTTGGTGTCAAGTCCCTCCGGGCGTCCACTAGGCTATCGAAAAGGCCAACAAAGGTCAACCAGTCGGAGAAGACCCCGGAGAACCTTGGCAGGTCCAGAGTTGGGAGTCGTCCCAACAGCTCTGGCTAAGTAGGCTGCTTCCGAGGGGACTCGGACAGGCCACTCAGCCGAGCTTCACGCGCTTCATTAGCATACTTGACCCCGTCTCGATCAAGTCGTCCGTGAACGAAAAAAATTGCTCGTAATCCATGAGGCAGGAGTCTAGGACTCCCTGTTCCGCATCCGAGGCCAAAAGCTCAGTGCAAGCCTCCTCCACTACGACCCTTCGGGCCACGACCTGCTCGAGCCGCTTCTCTAAACTATGGACCCGATCGAGCTGCCCTATCAAAGTATGGGCATTCGCGGCCCAGCGCAGCTCCGCCTGCAGGCGAAGCGCCGGTGGCTTGTGCGATGGCATTACTACTAACTACAATTACTATTAAATTAAATTAAATACAAATTACACTACATGGCAAGTACACACTACAGTCGGCCAGCAAGATGCCTCGCCCAGGCAACTGACCCTTCTGCAATTTAATCTACCTACCCGAAATACCTGACGCGTAGGTACCTAACCCTAAACTATATTCCTGCTTGCGCAGCCTAACGGGCGTGGTTATAACCACCGATCCGCTAACAAACAAAAAAAATTTTTTTACGGCTGGGCGTGATTGGAGGAACAATCAACCACGCTCTGCTACCATCTAACCGACACGGCCGTCGCGGACAATTGATTGCTCCAGACTGTTAACCGACACGGCTGCCGCGCACCAACTTTTTTCGCCCACACATCAGGCGGCCCGGCGGGAGCGCAGAGACGCGCGCAGGAGAGGGGGCCGGCGCTGACCTTAAATTCCATCGGATTAACACGCCGAGACGCGCGTCTTGAATGCAAGTTTTCAAAATGTTACGATTTGACCTAAACAATGTTACTGTAGTCTTTGGGGGAGACTTATTTAGCAGACTCGTTAGGTTCTGTAATCATGATGGTGATCAGGATATAAGCATACTTACTTAGAACTAAACACAGCCGTTTGCGGCAGTATGTAATGTTCGAACTGCTGTACGCACAAAATTTGCCCAGAAGTCTGCACGGAGCGCGGCCGCTTCTTCCTCACGAGGCGTATAGCGTCATTGGCACGGACTCGCAGAGCGTACACTAGATAGCACGCTATGAGTACTCCAGTTCTGCCTAGCCCTAGGTGAATAAAATTTTTAATCGAATGTAAATTTCATTATATATTAGTATACTAGCGTACCATAACATTAGAGCCAGTAGTTCCCAGTCAGCAGTACTGAATTTAACTGATTTACCACATTCCATCATACATCTAATGGTAAGTGGATGCTGTGATCTATAGACATCGATGCATCTAAAGACTAAGCTAGAATTCCTCCTTGATAGTAAAAAGTTTTCTGATTCTCACGAGTCAATCAGCAGTAAGTTACTGTTATTTTATGTAAGTTAGTATTATTTAAGAGCGTGGTTTTTCTCTGGTCGAACAGACCTTATCGTACTGTAGTCACAATATAGTTAGGTACAGTGTGGCACGAACATGTTAAGCTTTGTCAATTGTCATGTTCATAGACTGCTAATGAAAAATTTCTCACAGTATGCCGGAAGAGGAAAAAACGGCCACTTGTTAGTAAGTTGTAAAATATCATCATCATCGTCATTACAGCCTTTCACAAGTCCACTGCTGAACATAGGCCTCACCCAAGGAATCTCACAAAGCACGGTCCTGAGCCACTTGCATCCATCGACTTCCTGCATGTATTACCAGGTCGTCATTTCATATTTTTTTATACGATAAGGGTGACAAACGAACACACAGTCCACCTGATATTAAGTGGTCTATCATCTACCCTCGATTACAAATCAAAATGCAGATACGTTGTCACCCGTGAGGCCTAAGATGAAATGCCTCATTTCCAGTATAAAGGGTCTCAGGTTCTCTACACTCACCATACGAAACCCAACAGCGTTAAGCTTCTATTTTACGCTGGTATTCTGTGAGAGCGTGGTTCTTCCCCGGTCGAGCCAACCCATTCATGCTACAACTATACTACAAATATAGCTGCAGCATGGCTCTACTACGTATAAAATATATATAGTGTGGGTCGCCCGACACTTCCCCTACCGATACAAGGCTGCCACTCGAGAACCTTTTTTCCCATCGGTTCTCAGTTCTTCGAGCTATATGGCCGATCCATTGCCATTTCAGCTTTCTAATTCGTTGGGCTATGTTGGTCACTCTCGTTCTAGTGTGTATATCCTCATTTTTACGTTTATTATACACCCCGAACCTAGCCCTCTCCATAGCTCGCTAAGCGAACTGGAGATTTTTCGTACGGCCAGAAGAAAGACTACGTCTCAGATCCATAAGTCAGCACTGACAACACGCACTAGTTTTACAATATCGTTTTCAAGTTTTGAGGTATATCTAACGTGCCCATACGTCCCGCTTTGGGCGGGACAGTTCCGCTTTCGGGCCGTCTGTCCCGCTGTCCCCAGCGAAGGCAAAATAGTCCCGCTTTCGCAAACAGACCTAATTTCATTCTTCTACATCTACAGCGTTCGAGTCTAATCTTTGAAAGAGTTTTGTGAACACAGAGTATCACAAACTGCTGGGCTACAATAAAACAAAGTGGCTTACGTTAATAATACCCGCGCTTGAGAGAGTTCTAAAAATGTTTCAGCCTTTAAAAAGCTATTTTCTTAGTATCAACAAATTCCCAAATATTTTAATAATGGTTTTCGCAATTCCCAGATCAGAGTTGTGGTTATATTTATTGCACGCACAAGTAGTGATATTTCATGAATCTGTGTTAAAAATTGAGGGGCAAACGTGTCTGCAATAGAGTCTGCGAAGGAAATTAATCGTCTTCGAGATAACCTGGCATTCAACGAGAGCACTCTGTACATGGTAGAGCCATGCTGCAGCTATATTGGTAGTATAGTTGTAGCACGAATGGGTCGGCTCGAACGGTGAGGACCACGCTCTCACAGAATACCAGCGTAAAATAGCAGCTTAATGCTGCTGTGTTTCGTATAGTGAGTGTAGAGAACCGGAGAATTTGTTTACTAGAAAAGAGGCATTCCATCTTAGTCCTCACGGCTGACAACGCATCTGCATTTCGATTCGCAAACGAGGGTAGATGTAGATGTTTTTTTTAATAAGAATGAGGGTTACAAACACCTTATCCTATAAAAAAAAACTTGTCACCCTATCCTATAAAATAAAAAAAACTATTTTCCTTCCTCACACCGTCCGTAACTTATACTTGTAAAATTACAAGGAACTGAAATTGTTGTTGACCAGCAGAGTGTTAAAACTGCAGCGGCTGAGTTTTATAGGACAAGCAAAGAATATTTGGAGCAGTGGTGTCAATTCTACATAGAACTACAATTGTTTCAATGGGCAAATTTAACAAAAGCACCTACTTGGGATGAGGTACAAAAAGTAATGAATTTGCTGATCACCGAAGTGTTTATTAGCAGCAGCCAAGATACAAAACTTGCTGTATTGAGAGTCATTACGAAGCGTCCCTCATGCAGACTCGACGACTTCTAGCCTCCCGAACAAGCTGGTTTCCAAAAAGGCTTGAGCACCGTAGACCACATATATACCCTTCGGCAAATTGTACAGAAGACCGAAGAGTACAATCTGCCACTTTGTCTTGCGTATGTGGACTATGAGAAAGCCTTAGATTCCGTCAAAATTTTGGCGGTGCTGCAATCCCCCCAGCGGTGCCAAGTGGACTGTCGGTATATCGATGTGCTGAAGTGTTTGTACATTAGGGCTACGATGGCTATCCGAGTACAGAACCAGAGCACGAAACCTATTCAACGACGATCTATCTTAAGATGAACATGCAGAAAACTAAAATCTTGTTTAACGTCACACTATGCCTCTAGTTGTTGGGAGCACTAAGCTCGAACCTGTTGACGAATATGTTTACCTGGGACAAATAGTCTGACTAGGTAAGTCCAACTCTCCCCCCCCCCCCCCAAAAAAAGGGGCCCCGCCTTGTCGTGGCGGGTTGGCTTAGTATCCGCGGCTTGATCACCCGCGGTGAACAAAGAGGAACCCCTTGGCCGGCCCGAGGTGGCCACTCCGAGTGGGCTTGGTGAGCCCACTTCGGATTTGTGTAAGAGGGGTGTTCTCTCCCCCTACCACTGCAGCCGAGGTGGAGTCGCGCAGGAAGAAGAGTTTTGGTATGGCGATGCGCCACTCGCCCTATCCTCCGCGACTCAGACGGGGCCACACCGTTGATGCGGTGGTGGTGGTGATGCCGCGGGGGGAGAGGAGTGTTGGTATTGCGAGGCGCCGCTCTCCCTACCTCCCATGGCCGAAACTTGGTTGGCGGCGGAGCCAGAGACCAGATCCGCCGCTGGGGTCGGGAAAGCGGGTGCTACCAAGCGCTCGATTTTCCTGGTCCCATGGCGTTCGCGTATCGAACTCGGGGGGTTCGTTACGCAGGTGGAGTTGGAGGCCGAGAAAGGGGGCGTGCCTTGTGTTCCTGGTGCGCCTTGCCTGAGAGGGAGAGTGGGGACGAGAAGTCCTCCCCGAGAAGGGGCGGCCGGCGTTGGTGGGGCCGCGGATTTGTGCGAAAGCGTTCCCGTGGCCCTGCCAATATGTGGCAAAGGAGGGAACATCATGGGGTTTTAGTTGGTGCGTGTCCGACATAACCCGTCCTTGTCCCCGCGAGGCGGTTATGCGTAGGCATTTCCCCATGTTAAAAAAAGGTAAGTCCAACTTCGACCGAGAGGTCAATCGATGGATTCAACTCGGCTGGGCAGCGTTTGGGAGATTACGACATATCTTCTCGTTAGACATACCTCAGAACCTCAAAACTAGATTGTTCAACCAATGCGTGTTGCCAGTGATGACCTATAGATCTGACACGTGGTCCTTCACAGCTGGCCGTATGAGAAAGCTCAAGGTCGCTCAGCAAGCTATGGAGAGGGCTATGCTCGGGGTTTCTCTGCGTGAATAAACTTAGAAGTAAGGATATCCACATTAGACCCAGTGTGACCGACATAGCCCAAAGGATTAGTATGCTGAAGTGGCAATGGGCCGGCCATATAGCTCGAAGTACCGTCAACCGATGGGGAAGAAAGGGTCTCGAGTGACAGCCTCGTACCGGCAGATGAAGTGTAGGGCGTCCCCCCACTAGACGGAGTGACGACGGTAAGACATGCAGGAAGTCGATGGATGCAGGTGGCTCAGGACCGTGCTTTGTAGCATTCCTTGGAGGAGGCCTATGTTCAGCAGTGGACTTGTGAAGGGCTGTAATGATGATGAAGATTCGAAAATCTTTGACGAGTTTTCGCTTATTTCCAACTTTGCGACAGATGAAAAAGTCACTGATTGAAAAATCACTGACAATATTGCGGCTGAAGACCGTTGGATTGAATTATTCCAGCACTTCCGTGCCAACTATCTTCACTTAACGAACTTTTGTACAATTATTGAGTACATTATGTGTCTGCCAGGAAGTAATGCGCCGGTAGAAAGAGTTTTTTGTTAAATGAACAAAATCCAGACCAGTGATAAAACGCAGTTATGTGTCGCAATAGTGAAAGCCATTTTAATTACATAAATAAATATAAATAAATCCTGTACTGAGCTCCATATGTACCTAAAAACCAGACTCAATATTTTAAAACTGATTTGTTCAGCCGTCAAATACATAAATACTATGTAGAAGTCACGCCACTACTAGGGTTTAGTAACTCATGCAACCTTCTTAATTATTTTGTAATAAGTGCTTTGATTATTTTTTATTATTGTTATTACATTATACAATAAAAAAAAATTTTAAACCACCAAAAACTTTTATTTACCATAATTCGTTCCAATTAAAGGGACGTCCCGCTTTGACAAAAATAATAAATGGTCACGTTAGCCGTATACCCGACGAGAAGATGTGTCATAATTTCCAATACGCTGTCCAGCCGAATTGAAATCGGCGATTGACCTCTCGGTCGAAGTTGGACTTACCTAGTCGGACTATTTGTCCCAGGTCAACATGGATGTTACACATGATCTTTGTTTTGTCCGAGCGGGTGTTACGTTATGTATACTGCTTTGCTCTACAGTTTACTATCAATAAAATTTGGGCACATACCTTGTTCTATAAAAAAAAAAAGATTCAGACTTCACTATAGTCAAATCAATCGATGGTATATTC